GTCATATGTGTAATAAATTTTAAATAATACATAAAAATATTATATAAGATTCATAATATTTTAAAATTATTGGATAATTTGATTAAATGAACAAGTTGGATTGAATTGAGTTAAGCCGAGCAAATATATTCCGTACATATTGAGTCTTTGTTATTCTGCTAGAGCTAAAGCGTTTGTGCTGCCAAATGGCGATTCTAAATGCAATAAGTACACAAATTATTCAACAGTTTAATCTGAAAAACTAATATATTTAGACATAGTGAAACTATTAAATACAACACATTCATTGAACATTTCAAAATTTGAGAGTTTAACAATTTAATTTAAAAAAAAAAGTATTAACCCTATTCAAGTTCTATAAAAAAAAATACCAAATTACAATTTACACCTCCTATATTTATTATTTAATTAGATCCAAGCGGAACTGTTATTAATTTAATGAAATTAGTTAAAAAAAAAATAATTGAATATTTTAAATTAATTCTTATAACGCAGGTTTTCTTCTTTTAAATCAACAGTTTTACTAAAACAATTACCTTACACCTAATTATTTCTATAACCAAAAAACCAATATTATTTGGGTAATTTCACACAATTACGTTTACTTCAGTTGTAAAATTTTCTTAATTTGCATTTTCCAACTTCACAGCAAATTTTTAATATCACACTTCATTCACTCTGTGTAGGTAAATTTTAATAAAAGAAAAAAAAAAACATTTTAAAAAAATTTACATACAAATTATTTTATAAACAAATTAATGATTTTTTTTTTCAAAAGAAAAAAGTAAATTGCAATTTTTTTTAATATAAAAAAGAAATAACAAGAAGCGCATGTTAAAATAACATAAATTTTCTTATATTTATTTAATTTTCATCTGTTTCGCCTGAAATGGAATAAAGAGAACACAAATTATTTAAAATTACTCAAATTATACCGAGGGAGCAATTCAAAATCCCCTTGTTTATTAATTAATTTAAATTTATTAAAAAAAAAAATCATAAAAAACTAAATTTTATGAATTAAGTTTTTTGTTTTTAGATTTTTTTGTTCTCAAACATCTTATAATAAGTTTACTTATTTTTTCTGAATATCTAGCCTCTGAGAGTTTTTTCTTTTCTCTTAAAGATCATTGCGAATAAATAAAACAGATAACAACACTGCTGCTCACTTTAATTCACAATCAAATAATGTAAAAAATGTGAGATTATCATGAATTATAAAATTAATAAATTAATTATTATTATTAGTGTTTGTATATGAAATATGTTGTAGATATATGTACAATTATATTTGTATTAAATAGAATATATGTGTATTAAAAATTTATTAAAAAAATTAAGAATTTAATAAATGTAAAATATTAATTAGTACTATATATATGTATATATTTGCATATTTTTCTTTATAACAACAACATGACTAAACAAATTATGAATCTTTTCGCATATTTTACATTAAATTTACAAAAGTAACAGGTTTATAGAAAAATTTACATATACATACGTACATTTATAGCACAAAGGAACTCCGAATTAATTCCGAAATATTCGGAATTACATAAATTGATATTTGGAATTCCAGTATAATTCCGAAATTTTTGCGGGGAAAAAATTAAATTAAAAAATAAATTCCGAAATTTTCGGAATTAAATAAATTGATTTTCGTAATTCCAGTATAATTCCGAAATGATTGCAAGAAAATATCTGAAGGAAAAATAATTATTTAAAATATTTCAAATTAAATAAAATTCAATTTTTATTTGAGAATTTTACTAAAACGACACAAATTCAATGAGAAAAATGAATTGTTGTATAATAAATAAAAATATTTTTTTTATTTCCGATTTTAAAAAAAAGCTTCTTAAAATACATAAATAATTCAATGTCGGTATTTATAAGCTTGACTTGATTTTTGTCCAGTACGCTCCAGAGACCGACAAAAATTTTATCTGCCCAAACACTATATGGTTGGAGAAATATAAAACAGATTCTTGTATATATTTTACAAAACTTTTAATCCTTTTATTTTTAATATTATTATAATTATATATAATTACCATATAATTACCACATTATATATAATTATAATGAAGACTAGATTTAATTCAGCACAAAAAAAATTTTGTTATGAAAACGAAAAAATCTACACACAACCGACTGCAATGTATATTCCGTATTTTCAGTGAAAGCGTTACAGAACATTATGAAAATGCATTTTGAACACTTACTTTCAATTTTAAGGAAGTTAGCAAACATATCTAGAAAAGTGTAAATTTGACTCTTAGTAGAATTCCGCTTTGTGCCACCCGAATCCCCAAAAAAGTTCACCGTATACAATGCGATTGGTAAAAAGAATTATAAGGAAAGGCATAAATTAACTTTTTCTCGCATGGCATGTAGTGCATGAATTTTTCGAATAAATCGTTGCAGCACTAATAATTTTTTTTTAATTATGTACGTTTGCTGGAATTTAGTATGATTTATTTGAAAAGAGAAAACGTATGTAATATAAATCCGAATAAATCGGAATTTGACTTATTTCGACTCCAGAAATTCGTATTTTATAAAAACGAATGAACTTCAGAATTCCAAAATCCTGATTATAGGAGCAATGCGTATAAGTGTTCCAACCTGATTATTTGACATCTAGCCAAATGTTTTTCTTTAAATGAAAGGGAAGAGAAATTAAATTTATCCCATTATTTTAATTCTTAAATATTAAAATATCAAGTAAGTTATATTAATATACGTTTTAATTAATCCTTATTTAGGGGTTCTATAAATTCAAATAAAAGCATAATAAGAAATGAAATACAATTGCTATCAAAAATATCTTTTATAACCTAGCAAAGCTAAGAAATTCAGCTAGTTTTTAGTCCGTGAATAAGGGCATGTTTTCCTATTTTTATTTTTTATTTTATTATTATGGTAAACATAATTACATTCATTAAAAACAAATTCACAGTAATGAAAATAAAAATTTTTTTTCTTTATTTTTCAAAGTGCACTAAATACGAAAAAAAAAGCAAAACATATAAAAACACAAAAATCTAAAATTAAATTTTCCTCAATATTGCAGAAAAATCGTGTTGCAAAATTTGAATAAAATAACCAAAACAAAAAATAAAGAATGAAAAAACATAAAAATATTTCTTTTTTTTTTTAATTTTTGTTTTTCAAATTTTACTTCCTTAAAAAAACATTTTTTTGTATGAATTACGGTAAAAATTCCGAAAAATAAACAGCTGACTCGTCAGGCATTTTATTTTTATTTTTCTGGCAATTTATTCAAAAGCCTATCAGTATGTTATTAAAGACAGAAAAACTTCAAATTATTTATACATTTACCGTAAAAAACAATAGGACTTTTTGATTTATTAACATACTGTCAACACTGAGTGTCTTTTTATTTACCAACACCATAGCGTCAACACTGAGTGATAAACTTTAGCAATGTAATATTTTACATACATTAATTCTCCTTCGAATACAAGTTTATTAGTCAGGCAGTATACAATACTATTTTATATAATATAATTTACCTGTATTTAATTTATATTAAATACCTAGTGATGACAATCAAATTTTTGTATAATAAAGAAACTTAAAAAATTTTGCATAATTTCATGATCTCAAATACTAGATAAATTTGCTATATTATACTAAAAGTATATATAAATTAATACTATATAAACATAAAATTGAAAATAAACTAACCGAATACAAAAATTTGGATAAATGCCATAATTCGAACAGCCAATGTTCGAGTAATGCAATTTCGCCAGACAAACAAACAAAAATTATTTTTTAACTTTTTATTATTTTTGTTGCATTTTGTACTAATGTTGCAAAAGCACACAAAAAAAAAATTCTTGTTCTAAAAATAATATTTTTTTTTATTTTTATTAATTATTTTTTTTATTTTATGCTTTTTTTTTTGCAATAATATTTTATTTCTAAAGGAACGATCAAATAGATTAAGATACCCGTGCATTTAACTGATTTGTTTCACAAATTTTGCCAAAAATTTAATTGAATTTCTAAAAGATTACTAAGAGAAATTTAGATTTTATACAATAGAATATTAATAATTGCTTTTCTTAATATATTTATAATAGTTCCGATATCTTGTAATTTCTTATATTTGACCTGCAATGACATTTCATCATATTATTTGAAAAATTCTCTAAATAAATAATCTGTATTCAATTAATCCCGATAATTTAAAATATTTTAGTTCACAAATATTTGCTGAAATACAATAATTATACAAAAATCACTGAAATTTTAGATTACCTATGTGGTCTGAATGAAATTCATTATTTAATGCCTGTCAAATTATTCATTTGTCACCTAGAATTATTTTCTATTTATTCTAGGTTTTTGCTAATTTGGTAGTATAATAACTTTTAAATTAAGTCAAAAACACAATTCGAATACCCAATTATTTAGATATAGTTTAGAATTTTTTCAAAATTAATGCAGAGTAATGCACAGTATTAAATAAATAATAGTTATTTATCATGTATGACATGTTAAATTTTTAAGTATATACATATATACATTATATATACTTAAAATAATACAGAAAGTTTTACAAGTATGAATGTATAAAAATGTAGTGTATATTATACATAAATTTTTTGTTCTTCATAAAAGCCCATAATGGTGAACACTTGAAAAATAATAATTTTATCAAAATCTAAAAATTACACTCAAGAATTGTCGCCATTTTGTATATAAAAATAAACTAAAATAATTAATAAAATTGATATTAATCGATGATCAACATTGGCTGTAACTTAAGAATTTTATCTATACATATTTGTAAACAGTATAATCATTGAAATTCTGATAAGATAAAATTTGTGTACATATTTTTTTTTACGTGTATTACAATATCTCTGTGTAATACTATTACTATATTTACCGTATAACAAAAAAAAAAGAAATTGTAACAATTATAATATGATTTGTATATATATACTTATTTGGGATAGGTTAGGTTTGGAAGAGTATGACTAGTGACGAACAATCAGTCCGGCATAGGCTAATTACTAAGTCAATTAAACATTTGTATTAATTTTTTCTGTAATCTTTACGAAAGCTAAGTAAATTGAATATAAAGTCCTAAACATGTCAGTATTGATTATTCCAACTTTTATACCACTGTAATATTACCACGGTTATACCAGAATATTAAAATAAGATATGACAGTTCCAAATTGCCAATATTCAAAACACTCACGGCACTCGAAATCTACCAATGACAATAAAACTCAATAGTGATAATGAGCTTGTTGATTGACACAAAAAAGAAAACACAACATTTATTTAAATAAAATTTCTCCAATAGAATTTGCAAAAAGTATAGGATCGCCCTTATCATGTGTTAATTAATATAATGTGTCTTAATTTTTACCGGCACCAACTGCAACCACTTAAAATTTAAAACAAAAATTGAAATAAAATAACAAAAAACCAAATGTAAAAGAAAACTGAATGTTAGACGGTTTTAGGATGACAGATTTGAAATTAATGAAAAATTGTAGGAAATTTCACAATTTGGTATACTTTAAAATAATCTGTTATATATGTACATTATATAGTACAGATTGCCTATATATTTATGGATCATTTGAAACTTTGTTTTTTAAAAATGTGTATAACAAAAAGAATTCAATATTTTTTAAGAAGAGCAATGATCTACAATACATTAATTATTAAAGTGGCTATAACATTTCACCTTTTACATATAATGCAGACCAACCATGTTGTATGACATTTTATGTAATAGACTTTTATATACATATGTATGTGTGCACATATAAACGCATGTAAAAGTATACGAATTCATCCAAAAAGAAAAATCAAAATTTGAGTTGACAACATAAACAATGTAAAATTATTAATAGAAAAAGAAAGTTGCGAAAAAATTTCATGCTAATTAATTGGATTAAATGAAATTCATTTCTATTAATAAAAAAAAACCCTTTTATAGTTTGTCTTTTTGATATCTTACATAAAAAAAGAAAAAAAATAATTTAAGAGCCAAATAAAATAGTACCGCTTCGTATGCAAAAAACTTATATAAAATTTAATTCTAATTAAAGTTTATTCGTTTGCTGGGGGAATGGAACTACTTTTCAATCGAAATCAATAACATAACAAAAATGTTTTATTATTAGGATAATAACGTTCGATAATAATGAAAAGGATCACGGGCCATCGTGTAATTTATCGAATCAAAAACAATATTTAAATTTACCAACGCTCCTGCTCTTTTTTCTTTATTCAACCATATTGCATTCGCTCAGCATAATAGCGAGCGTTCGCTCTCAAAATAATTTTTAACTACCGAAATGGGAAATAACTAAAACTATCCAGTTTTGCATTTGATTTTTATTTTTGAAACTATTAGAATTAATTATTAATTTTATAATTAATTACTTAAAAATTTAAAACATTTTATATTTGAGCCGGATTATAATGAGATTTTTCAATTTAACTAATGTTAATTCAAAAATGAGAATATATAGGTAGAGTTGACTATGTCAACTTTACGATATCCACACAAATTAGTGACATTAATAATTGTATTATAAAATTTAAGAGCTTTAATAAAATATTTATGCTTTTGCGAAGTTTCGATATTATAACTTCAGTTGTAACGTATCGTTCGGATAGCTATCCGAATCACTGCCTCAATCACATCTAATTTCAATAGGGTTACAGCATTTATAATTATAGATCATTTGGCAAATTTTGGTGGGCTTAGACCGGAGAGACTAATGAACAGACACGGTTAAATCAACTCAGCATTCGACGCTGATCAAAAACTTACACTTGAATCTTTATCTCAGATCATTATTTCATAGCGTTAAAAACGGTAAAGCAAATTTATAAAACCTTTCGAACATACGTCCGTAAGGGCAACTTTATCGATAAAGTTCAATTATTTTTTTATTTATTAATTTTAAAAACAATATAATTAAAATGTAAATCAGTTCACCTTTACCGTTTAATAATAAATTAATCTATAATATACTTATAAATACTTGTTATATTTAAGTGGATTGTATAAAAATATATTATTTCTTATATAATATTCTATATACATTCTGATATTTTACGGTCATAATAGTTTAATCGAAATTTGAATTTTTCCATTCCTATATATACATGCATAGGTATAAGATAATGTTTTGTGTCCTCCCAGTTTTAACGGTGATAAGACGTCGAAATCTCAATAAAATATTTGAAATACTATAAGTATTATATTAATTTTTAATCTTAACTTCAAATATTGTTTTTCTTCAAAACAAAAATCTGTTATACAACAAAAATTACACAACAAAATATATAAAATGTAAAATTATTGAAATTTTATTATTACAAAATCATTTTGAAGAACCTTTAAGGTTAAATCCAAAATTATGATAACCTTTGTAATTTTATATAAAGTATAAAAATATAAAATATAAATTTTAATAATATAAATTACAAAATATTTTTTAATTTATTTAATTAAGGGCAGCTATTCTTTGTAATTTAATTTAATTTTTTGTTTTTTTTTTTAATTATTTCACTTAGGAATAGTTTACATTTCGTTCAAGTTTAGAATATTGTCAATATAATTAAATTAATTATTATACCTTTTATTTTTCGTGACACTAAGGTTCAAAGTTATTTTAAAATTTAATATTTTATAATTAATTTGTAGTTTCAGTTCTGTAATTATTTAATTTAACCTATACCAACTTAAAAAAGTTTTACATATCAGACGATTTCTTAGTGTACAAGCATTTAGTATAGCAAAAGACACATCACTTACAAACGTGACTAACTAAATCGTAATCATTTATAGATGGAAAAGGAAGAGAAAGGGAAAGGGGAGGAAAAAATAATATTACTAAGTAAATTAACCACAAACCAAACGTATATACAACTACTGTTCGGCGAGTTAATAGAAAGCGTTACATAAGTTAATAATAAATTAAACAAAATCAATGCTACCGTATAGTCTAGCCTTAAGTACCCTCTTACATATGTTCGTACAAAAATCAGACGACTCCATAGTTCGTACTATGACGAAGAACATTATCAACCGATCTTAAGCTACTGAGATTCTTACTGTAAGAAATTTGACCCACTAAAACCGGGGTAACCACGTTACTCATCATAAGTTGATTAATGAAAACTATATCGGAAACTGCCGATATAGACAACGAAGTGATCTTAAGTTCAAAGGCTGAAGCCTACTTTCATAAGGGAGCAATCGAAACGGATCCGACCAACCACGAAGAGCAAAACGAAAGAAACGCCTTTTTACAGTTTTAATAGGATCAATATCAACATTACGAAGAGGTGACCAAACCTGAAAAGCGTACGGCCCTCACGAAAGCAACATAAAAATTTTTCGTCGCAAAAGAATCATAAAATTCCTTACACCATCTCATGACCAAACATTTTTAAAAAATATTCAACATAAACAGAGTAGAAAGGCTCTTTTAACAAAATCAAATTTTTACGTCGAGCCATTTCCATTCTATAACAAACATACTATTCATACATACACAATTATTCCTTTAATACATTCTAAACTTTTCAATTTCGCTTTTTTAAATATTGTATACAAAATTATTCAAAAGTAATAATCACTTATGATAATTAAGATCAAAAACTTTATAATACGGTCCTTTGATTTAAATTTTCAAAAATATTTCACACATTATTTTGACTATAACAACAACATATAAAATGAGTTTAAGTATTACATAATAGTTATTTTAGCCTTAGGCTATCAAAATATATTTTACATTATCTTATTCATGTATGTTATCACTGCTATAATATCCTTGAAAAAAGGACAAGAAACAAAAAAAGAATATTAGCCTTTCTCTTTGTTAGTAAATATGTATATGGATGAAAATATGATTGATAAAAGACACATAATTTGTTAAATAGCACATTTCAATTCCGAATTGCTTATTAGGATTCCGAACTTCAGAGTTGTATAACAATTGAAACACTCCTGTTATACTTGTAGTATTTTATATTTCATATACTTAGCAGAAATTTGAAAATAATTTCAAAACAGAATTGCACTAGCATGAAGGTTAAAATTCAATTGCTGTACTTTCATTGGATTCAAGTTTCAAGAGATTAATGAGAAGACTGTTACTGTTACACTCTCTCTTTTTAAACCGGAAATTCGTAGAAGGTATGTATTCGCTGCTAAAAAAAATATTTGAATATTGTTTAACTACATTCTAGCTCTGTTGAATATTACCCAAAATAAAAGTATTTCATTCCGAATAAAAGAAAGTTTTCTTTTCATACACCTTAAAAATTGGAAATGTTAAAATTGTAAATTATAAGTGGATTCTTTTATAAAACAGTAAAACCTGTAGAATTTTTAAAAATGAACAGCTGGGCTAACAGAATTAAACTATTAAGTATGTTTTTATCGGAAACAGCTATACTAAAAAGAAATTAATATTCTGGAATTGAATGGATGTAACTATAACTACAAAGAAATTTTGATTTGGACATGTACAAGGTGTGTTATAGAAAATTAACCAATGAAGATTTTTAAATTTTTGAACAGATAATGAACATTTGAACTTAATTTGAACATTTAATTTCTTAAAACTTCTGAAACAATAAAATGTTCATAACAATCTACCGAAACCAATTATAACAATCTATCGGGGCTAACCAGGATACGCTTCCTCTTTCACATATTCAAATGTGGTTACCGAGCATTGGGGCCGTAATAAATCAAAAACTCATATGTTTTATAGTTGTACGTCACAATAAAAATTCAACTTATCGACCTTCAACGCCTCTCCAACTTGATTATTTTTAAATTTACCACATCAATACCTTCAATCAGACATTGAATAACTTGTAGTTAGGGTGGTAATATAGGAGTGAGATATTTATGATGAATAATATTTACATTTTAAGGATGTTTAAAACATAAAGTTGTCCAAAATTTTTCGCCCTTAAAACTATTTTCA